CGCCTGCGCCTGCTCCTAGGGCAGGCAGTTAAGTAGTGCGGGGGATTAAAACGCTGGCGCTGGGGAAAGACGAAACACGGGAATAAAGCTCCCCGAGCAAAATGCACGTTTCCCACCCGTGCGCACATCAGAGTCTCTCTTTTCCTGTCATTTAGCTGATTCCCAGTTTACTCGCTGCAGGAAACTCGAAACGTTTTGCACCACTTGTTAATATACGTTATCATGTAACCTAGGACAAGCCGATGATAGGGCCAAAGACATTAATCGAGAAACGTGTTTCTGAGCAGGGGTTATTAATACATCTCTCGTATTATTAAACTTTAAAGCTGACGCTTATTTTAGAATAAATCCAGAACATTTAATTTGAAACAAATCTGAAATTTTCCGAGTGGGAAACTGGAGATTTAATCCCTTTCATTTTAGTATTTTGGTCATTTTAAAATCGGCATCTGAAATCTGTTCCTTCTAATCTTATGCTTATTGTTAGGAACTTTGTAGAAATTACAATTGATTCAGATTGTTAGTCTATCCTTTAATCTACAGTCTCCCTTGTTGCCCTACTCTGATAACAATATGCTTTTGATTTAACAGATGTTTTTCTTCGTGAAGCCACCATTAACTGGAAACTTTCCCTCCTCATTTTGTAGCACCAGAGGCCAGAAATGGTCGAAATTTGACAACTTTTGATTCCAGGAACAAAATGTTGATGAAATAAAAAGTGCCAGTCAGCAATTATAACTAGGGCGGGTGCTTTATAAAAGTAATGCTCAAAGAAGATATTAAAAAGTATTTAAAATAAAATATATATATATAAATCCTGCTATGACACTTTCTAATTGCTTTCTTATGATTTCCCATACTTTCTTATAATGCGTATGCACTAAAAAAGATAGAAAATCATTGGTAATGGTCAAAACATGACTACATGACTTACATATATATGTATGTATTTAACATACTTTTATTTAATTGAATATTCTGGATCTAGAAGGTGAAAAAAGAGTTTGAGTTTCTTAGTGTATAGGGTAGAAATCTGTATTTTTAAAAATATTTTATAGAGGAAAATTCATAGCAGAAATAGATGGAGAAATAGATTTTGTTCCCTTATCAAAGTATAGTGTGCAACTTTTGTACCTAAAATACCTTAAATTTTCAGTGTGACCATGTAATACCACAGTATATTGATCTGACAGTATAATATTTATTTACAAATTAATCTTTGACCTAAAGCAAAAAATGTATTTGTGCACACTTTGTTCAGTTCTGTGTTCGTAATAGGGATAGTTTTAATTTTTATACTAGTTGTTAAATTAAAAGCATATATATTTAAAATAGTATTGACTTTGAGGGCTTTTTTGGAAAACAAACGAAGTCAAGGATTTATTTTTTGTTTTGTTTTTCTACACAATGCTGAAAGCTGTTTATTGATATGCCCCAGCATCTATGTTATATAGTTGTTGAGAGTTTTTTTTCTTTTTGCGTACAGATTTAATTACTGACAAACATGCAAACTTATTTTGGAAGATTTCACCTGATAAGTGACAATTTAAAAGGAAAATTGTAATAACTTATCAAAATCATACTAATACCAAGAGAAATTGGCACAGTATTAGAGTGTTTAGGTGTTTGTTATTGACAAATATTTAATACGCTTAATTCTGTGAGTTAAATTCTGGCTTTACTAAAATCAATTTCCAAGCATCCATTGATTTAGATGGAGCAGAATTTCACCCCTTGTCTTTCATCCAAAGATCTCAAATCACTTATACAAAGATAAAAGATGTAGATTGACAGGGAAATTAAAGTCACACTATAGCTAAATCACTAGTTGGCAATGGGGCTCTGGACATAAGCTAAAACATATAGAAGACATTTAGAAGAAAGAGCATGAATTTAGGAACTAGGTTTGTGTGTCTTTGAAGAATGACCCTGATATGGGAGCAAAACCATTTTGTGTGATGTTATGCAAGTGAGGTCAGGTCCATCTCCTACAGAAGTCAGTGGAATCATTCCCAACTAATTCAATGAGATTTGGCATATGTAACTGTATCTTTGGTAGAATCCCTAAGTTTTTTTTAGAAAGAATAGAAAATACTGATAAAACCAAGAAAAAAAAGTAAATGGAACTATTTGCTAGACAGCAGTGTTCTGCATAAACAAGGAAGCAATGTTAACAATGCCTATTTTTATATATTGATGTACATCTTTGGGCATTATGGAGACCTTTCCTATCTATTTTAGATACGTATGCTGCCCCTTTACCATAGTATCTGAGTTTCCACAATCTTCATTATATTTATCCTCAGATCACCCTTGTGAAGTAGAAATGATCTCTGTTTTACAGGTAAGGAACTGAGGCGTAGAGAGTTTAAGCAAGTAGCATATGGTAACACAAGAAGTTTATAGTAGAGTAGGGAACTGAACACTGGTTTTTTAAGCCCTAGGCTAGAATCTTAACTTGAAGACCATCTGTCCTCTTTAGTGCTGTAAAAGCATACTTAATTGAATACAGTATACAGAATGACCAAGGACTCTCTATTCCTCGTGCAATATCATATGAAACAAGATAGGGGAGGTATGGGGAACACAGATACATTGAGAGATAGCGGATAGAATAGATCTTTAGCGTCAGTAAAAAGAAAATAAAAATAGTGAGCATACATGAAGTAAACCATAGCATCATTGGACTTTCAGAAGATACAGGCAGCCTAGGGATTATCTCCTTGTCAAATTTCAAGTTCCTGTCATGACAATGTAAGAACTGTTCAAAAAGAGTTGGCAATGTCATTTTTAATTATGTCAGTTTTTTTCTTTTTAATAGAAAATGCCTCGTACACTGTGGTTTCTAATGCAGATTCTAGTAATACTAACTTCAGAGAGGAAAAATCACTGTTTTTCTTCTCAAAAATGGCCAAAACATTTTTGCTCAAAACTTAAAAAGATTTCTGTGACCCATGGCAGAGACCACAAACCTAAGAAATTTCAGTCTGAAAGATGAAAACTTCAGAAAGCCCTGAAAAAGTCTTTTGGAATTGAAACACTTGGGCAACCCTGTTCCAGCTAAAAATAAAATAAAATAAAATAAAAATGTTTTTACTTAGAGCGTGAGTAGAACAGAACATAGTATTGGTTATTGAAAGTTTATTGCTTAATAATTATTATTCCACTGAGTATTTCTGCTTTACTGAGCATAAAGTAAAATTGACC